AGAAGCAGATTCACAATTTCTGTTTCTTTAAATGCCATTGCCGCTGCTTCTTTCGGTGTTATCCTTGCTATCCATGGCGCCATCACCTCCACCATCACTCACGTCGCCGTCACAGTCGTTGCCATCGCCTCGGGTGCTTGTCTCTCCACCAAGGTTGACTTCTTCTGTTTTCGGTTTTGTTTCTTTTTTTCTTTTATGGAGCAATTGTTTGTGGTTGTTTGTGGAGAATCTCTGTTTCTCTTAAGAACGAGCTAGCTACTGGTGAGAGCTTTATTTTTGTTCTGTTTTTTCGAACTCTTATGGGTGATTATTGGTCTTGATTTTGCTACTTTTCTTTGTCTTGATGGAACTAGAATTTTCGGTTCTCTTTAAATCAGTTCTCGCTGGTTTCTGTGTTGATTTCGCTAGCATTTTGGGTTCTGGTTTGCTACAGATTGAGTCTCCGGTGGTTCAGGACTGTTTCTTTTTGATTTATTCGCATCCACGTGATTTGTCTTGATTTGGTGAAATTCGAATGCGTGTATTCGAGGTTTTTTTGTTGGATTGTGATTTAGTTTCTGTTTTGTTGTGTTTTAGTAGTGTCGTCGGAGTTATCTAGGTTTGAGAAAAACCCAGATTTGGGTTTGATCAAACCCAGATCTGGAGAGGAAGAAGAAGAGGGGAAGAGAGGAGAGAGAGAAAGAATAAGAAAAGTTAAAAAAAGTCATGTGGGTCCCATTAAAAGGGAAAGTTAAAAAGGTGTTAATATGATGTGTAAAAAACTATATACCACGTGTACAAAAAAACATGCCACGGTAATAAAATTTTCTTAGCTGGATTTACACGTCATTAACATTTAAAAAGTTAAGTGATTTGCTGGCAAGATAACGTGACACCTGTCATTTAACTGACGGAAGGACCATTTTGGTACCAAAAATAAAAGTTCAAGGATAATTTTGGTACTTTTTAAAGTTAAGGGACAATTTTGGTACCAAAGTGGATAGTTGAGGGACCAAAATGGTACTTAAACCTTTTTTTTTTTCTTCTTTCTTCCTCTTCTTCCTCTGTTGTTGGGTCCCTTGAACCCAGTTTGTTGGGTTCCGTGGAACCCAACAGATCTGGGTTCCATCGAACCCAGATCTGCTGGGTTCCCTTAAACCCAGATGGCTGGGTTCAAGGGACCGAGCAACTGGGTTCCACCGAACCCAGGCTAGGTTCAACCTAGCTCCGCTTTTTTTTCTTTTTGTTATATGTTTGTTTGAAGAGATTTTTATGTAAATTGCAAGTTGTGAGGGATTATTGAGATCCTTTTCTTCATATTCCTTAAGTATCATCTAAATGATTTCAATGTTCAAAATAGAAAGAACATCGCCGGCAATGGAAAGAATAAAAGCAGTAACTAATGGATAAAGAAGCAATTCTTAGTGGGTTTTCATTTGTTTAGGTATAAGGGTGTTTGGATGCTGAGAAAATGTTTTCTATTTGAACATGACAAAACATTTTGTCCATGTCATCACTTTTTAAAATTTTGCACTCCACATCATCAAAAAAAATATAAAAAATGCCACATGTGCAGAGTTAACGGCTTAAATTAATAGAAGGACTAACTGTGTGCATTTGTTAGAGTTGAGGGATAAAAAAAAGTGCAAAAAATTGTTGAGGGATCAAAAATGTGCATTTCTTAAAGTTGAGGACCAAATTTAGCATTTAACCTTATTTTTTCTTTGGTAGGGTGGCGCCCCTATATGGTAAGAATCCAAAACGGCGTCGTTGAATGAGGAATCTAGATTTTGTCCTTTTTTTTTTTTTGTGGGATTTCCATTCAAAGACCACTAGCCTTTTCTTTTTTGTCTTTCTTGATTTTGGTTTTTTTTAGGTAAATGTTGAGAATATAATAAATAAAATTTTTAATTATAAATTTATATTAAAAAATAAAATTTAATTAATTAATTATTAATTATTAATTAAATTTATTCATTTAACATTAATTTTAAAATTAATGTCATTTTTTACATTTTTTTATATATTTATAATAAAAAAATACCCCTATCAAAGCACAAATTAAAAAAAAAATCTCTTTTTTTATAGTTAGATTTTTTTAAATATATATTTTCTATTTGAAGTTGTGCAAATTTATTTATATGCATACCATATAATTTAAATTTAATTTGTTAAGCTATTTAAGTCCATAATTTTTTTTTGTTAACTTGATCCTCAATTTAACATATAATATAATACTGTATTTATTTATTTATAAATTCAACCTCTTGTTAAAAAAAAATAATTATGTCTATGGATATTCCCACAAGTTGTTGGATGAAAAGGGCCAAAAATGTAAGGAAATTGTGAATGCAGCAGTCCTCGCTGGGAGATTCACCCACCATTTTCAGGTGCGCGACGCGGGTCAGGTCCGGATTAGTCGAGGCGAAACCTCGGATACCGGACGGGAAACCAAAAAAAAAAAAATGTAAGGAAATTTATTAATTTGCCAATAGCATTAATGAGGGCTAAGATATTTTTCATTAGGGGTTATCTAGAACACTTGGATTTGGTGATGGTAGGTGAAGTTCTGAATATTTACCTTAAAATAAAAAGCGAAATATCAAGTTTTATTTTTGAAATTTTGAATTATAAATTCAACAATTGCAAATTACTTTGGTTCAAGAAATTTTTTTTTTTTAAAAGAGTCCTCTAATTTATAAATACATATTGTACACATATATAAACAAAAGCAAATATGACAAAAATAAATATCAACTAATTTATAAAAGGAGAAAAAAAAAGTTTTCTTTTCCAATTGGTTGAAGAAAAAAATATGCTGGACTTATAATGGACAAAAAAACAAAACAAAACAAAAAACAAAATATGCTAGAGCATCACAATTATTGAATGTAGGAAGGGGAGAACCTTCAATAGAAATTGAAAAACCACATTATTATCCCTTTATAATTATAAGCCTATGTGCAAAATCAATTGAGGTTTTTTTTTCTTTTTACAAACATAATAATTAATAAGTTAATTTTATTAATTATTAATAATTTTGAATTCAATCCTTAAATTTAATCAATATTTCACCACTCTCGATTAAACACGTAACCCATCAAATCAATTAAGCACGTAGCCCATCGAATCATTTGGTGAAATTCAATAAATTGAGATTCTAGTTCTAGAAGTTGGATGCCAAGAGTCAAAAAAAGTAAGTAAAGAGAGATGAGCTTTTCAAATGAAAGTGATGTGGATTCAGGAATATTCTGCCACTTGGAAAATAGCCAATGCAAAACTGGTGGTCCACAATGGAGCCTTCTTGGACTGGCCACTATTTAATTGTTCTTTAGCTATAAGTAGTTGGGTTCAGGACCTTTACTTTCCATTCTTTTTTTTTTTTTTTGAAAACAGGTAATGAATACTTTCCATTTTGATTTGAGAGTATTGTATTGATTCGACATTTTTTTATTATTTTTAATCGTAAAATTAAAGACTTATTATATATAAATTTTATATATTATATTTATATAAAATTTTAATTTTCAATTTTTTTATTTTTAA